TGAATATTTATATTCTAGCAATATCGAGACACATATCATTTGTTATTAAATGCTTTGTTTTTCAAGCATTGGAAAACAGCAGTGCACAGGATCTTATACCTTTTGTACTCCTTCTTAATTCTGCTTTTTCAAAAATAGATTTGGTGAGAAACACGGGAGCATTACACTAAACTTTCTATATTTTAACTTTAAATCACACATAAGCAAGTCTGCAAATCAGAAATAAGACAGTAAAAAATGCGCGAAAAATTGTACCTAAGCCTATAATTTAAATTATTCGCTAACTCTTGGCAGTAATTAAATCATCTTCGTTTGATATAAATACAGTTAGATGAAGTATCAAGATCAGTCATATATATAGAACATGTAGATCAAAAGCAGGTTAAACCGGGTAATAACAAATTAAGCACCGCTCTAGTTTTCAGGTTGGTTTAATAATCCAAATTATACCAACGAAGGAATATTAATTATATCTTCTTTTCTTGAGAATCACTTAACCTTCTTATATTGAAAACAAGATATCAACTAAAGATACGATTTTCCAGAAACACTGCTCCGAATTCTACTCTCTTACTAAATATTCAAGTTGTATAGTACTTTTCTATCGTCCCCCCTAGTGACTCAGTGATATAAATATTCAAGTTGTATAGTACTTTTCTATCGTCCCTCAGTGACTCAGCGATATAAATATTCAAGTTGTATATTACTTTTCTATCGTCCCTCAGTGACTCAGTGATATAAATATTCAAGTTTTATATTACCTTTCTATCATCCCTCAGTGACTCAGTGATATGAATGTTCAAGTTGATAGTACTTTTCTATCGTCCCTCAGTGGCTCAGTGATATGAATGTTCAAGTTGATATTACTTTTCTATCGTCCCTCAGTGGCTCAGTGAAGAATATTTATATTTTCTATGTAGCTATAAACGAATTACACCTGAAGGAAAAGGTTAAATGTCTGGAGGAACGTTTGTCTAAAAAGGTAAGATTTTAGTTTTTACTCGTTTCTGGTAATCTTTGTAAGTAGAAGGTGTCGTGGATAGTTGAAACAAATGTCTTTCTTCATGAGTTTCTTTAACCTGCAACAAGTCATATCTCAGCCTTTGTGAGCAAAGTGCGGAGTATTATAAAGGTGAGAAACCACAAACACAAAAGTCAGTGACAAAAGTAACTTACGTGCTTCAGGCAACACTACGCAACATAATCAAAAAGGCCACCAGGGTATGGGCTCACTAGCATAAGATTTCAAGCCATACTTCCAGTTCAACAGTCACAGGAGAATGAAATAGGTATTCATGCTATTCCATACCAGTCAAGTTACCTGACGCAGCGTCTAAGGATTAATGTACGTTCGGACTGTTGAAACAGGCACTGGGAAACTATTGTCTCGTACAATAGATAATCAATTATCTAGACTTGAGTGGGTGAAGAAATATCTGTGTGAATAAAATTTTCTACTTAGCTTTGTCGTAAAATATCTAGACCCGAGTACATGACGACATAATCTTATCAATAAATTTTTACTTTTTCTGGTATATTTTTAGTCAGAAATTGATTTGAAGCTCTGGATATAATTATGTTAATTTATATCATCCATTTTCTATGAAAAACAAAGTCTATTATAAATGTATCAACTAAAATCATGTTTTTTGACTAACAAATATCATTATTCTACCCTTTAGCGTGAATTATTTGTAGTGATTGGCCGAGAGCACATCATGTGGTATGAAACATTATAAATATTGCCATGAAAGACAGACAACGCATCAATGAAGCCTCTTTGTAAAGGCCATTACCATGCATGCATGCGTGACGTCGCAGGAGAACTTTGCAGACGACAATTTTTGTAGCATAGTGAAACACGATGATTCATTTAGGCCTAATTTACAAACAGCATCGAAAATCTCGCTAGCAATCTAGGCAGATATTATGGTGAAGTTAGGCAAGTGCGTCTTGTATACGTTTATTGGTATGGTCACAAGATGAGGAATGTTATATTTTGAAAATTGAATAATTTATAAATCCTACCCATTTGTTATTAATTCTTAAAATCAGATCAATATTTTCAATAAAATATTAAACTTCAATATTTATATAAAGGCCTAGGGAAGTAGGCTAAAAATTATATGTGACATCGATAATTAATCAGAAAAAGGGGGTAGAAAAAACAAATACTGACTGGTAATTTCGGGCAACAGATCATTTGTTGCCCTCGAACCTACGCCCTTGTGAAACAGATGCTGGTCACCTTCACTCCCTTAGGCAACAAATAATATGTTGCCCTCATAATCAAACAATGAATGTCCATTGTTTTCGAGTGTTAGTCACAAATCACGTGACAACCACAACTGATATAAAGTGGCGATGGAACAGATTGTATCAGAACTACATTTTGAAATTGTTTGATATTTCGTACTTAGTGTGATGAAAACTGATAACTTTTGGGAAGGGTATATAACACCTTTTCCGACGCAAAATATTATTCATACGTTCAGATCATAACGGTGTGTTCAAAGTAGCATTTAGAATTTTCAATACAGCGTTAGCTCTTGTTCTTAATGGCACTATAAACAAGTAAACATGGATCAATTTAGGGACCCAGGACCATCCAGAAAAAGGCACAATCAAAATCGGTTTCATATAATGTACTGAACCGTCTGTAGTTTATGGTCAGATAGTTCAAGTCTAAAATATATATTAGATTGTAGTTTGTTTCTTTTAGAGCAAAGTCACATTGGGCTATCTGCTGTGTCCACCGCGAGGAATCGAACGCCGTATTTTAGCGTTGTAAGTCCTTAAACTTACAACTTTCCTACCAGGGGACCTTAAACTGCAGTGCGAGATAGCTTTAAAACTAAACCTCAAGTACGGCTGTAACACACACACGATGGATCAGTCGTAATGAATTCCCGCTAAATTAGACCAAAGAAATACACCTTGTATTCCAATTAGTAGGTTTTGAGGATGAAACAGGGCTTAGGATTAAAAGTTACAATTAACAGCATTGTTTTAGAGTGAGAGTGGTAGACACCTGTTTGTAGTAATATTATAATACAGGCACAACTATACTTAAGATAATATTATGTGTACAAATATCCCTTTACTTGCAATAAATCATTATGAGTGAACTACATTTGTAAGACTTTGCATTACAAAGAAGAAAACAATATAAGATAAATGAGAGGTGTGTCCCAGATATAATCGAAAACAACGTTTTGGCCAACTTTTCTCATCGCAATAAAAATAATAGATGTATGTATGACGAAGAAGTACAAAAAAATTATTTTTTTATTTTCACGTGCTTTTCATTTAGGATTTATATATATATTCTCTCTTTCTCTCTTTATATACATATATATAAACAGAACAC